CTGAAGCTGAAATGTTTAATCCTACACTGCCCTTGGTTCCTATAACCACTGAGATAGCTTTCAACCCTGACCCTGTTGAAGCTGTAAGTGGTGATGACAACACAACTACTGAAATGACATCTGGATCACATATTGATGCAATGCCAGAAGAAAGAAGTGCAGTGGAAGAAAACATTGTTCAGTTGCAGCCTAGAAGGTCAGAAAGAACAAGGAGTGTTCCCACCAGATTACAAGACTACTACTGTCATTCAGTAGGCAAGTCTCATATCAGAACATCTCCACATAACATTAGCAAAGTTTTATCCTATGAAGGTTTGCCTCTTTGTCACAAGACTTGTGCCTCATCCATCATCTCCTCACATGAACCTCAATCCTACATTGAGGCAGTCAAAGAAGAAGCATGGAGAAAAGCCATGCAATCTGAAATAGAAGCTCTAATTGAGAACAAGACTTGGGTTTTGACAGATTTACCAGCAGGAAAAACTCCAATTGGATGCAAGTGGGTATACAAAGTGAAACATAAAGCTGATGGTTCAATAGAGAGGCACAAAGCAAGGTTGGTTGCCAAGGGTTATACTCAGCAGCTAGGGGTAGACTATATTGAAACATTCTCACCTGTGGCTAGAATGACAACTATCAGGGCATTTTTAGCCATGGCTGTTGCAAGAGGATGGGATGTCCAGCAACTAGACATCAATAATGCTTTTTTGCATGGAGATTTAGAAGAAGAAGTGTATATGGTTCTACCTCCTGGAATTAAGAGTGAAAAGCCAAAGCAGGTTTGCAGATTATTAAGATCCCTATATGGTCTAAAGCAAGCCAGCAGATAATAGAACACTAAGCTTACAAAGGCCCTACTAGATGATGGTTTTAAACAATCCCCAGCAGATCCATCACTATTCACTAAAGCCCCAGTTGATTCATTTATAGCTCTATTTATATATGTTGATGACATCCTAGTTGCTGGAACCAATCCCAAGCAGATCACCCAGCTGAAACAATACCTGGACAAGACATTAATAAAGGATCTTGGCCAGCTGAACTATTTCCTAGGGATTGAAGCTTTTAGAACTTCTGATGGTCTCAACTTATGCCAAAGAAAGTATGCCTTAGAGATCTTGGAAGAGAATGGATTTTTGGATGCTAAGCCTGCCCAAACTCCAATAAATACAGGGCAGAAACTTACCAACACAGAGGGGACTCTTCTAGACAAACCTGAGGAATATAGAAGGCTGGTTGGCAAACTCCTCTACCTAACAAACACTAGACCAGACATCTCCTATGCTGTGCAACAGTTGAGCCAGTTTGTGGACAAGCCTAGAAGTACACATCTTATGGCAACTCACAGAGTATTGAGATTTCTCAAAGGGTCTCCTGGAAAGGGATTATTTTTCCCAAGCTGCTCTCAATTAAAACTTCAAGCATATTCTGATTCAGACTGGGCAACTTGCTCAGAGACAAGGAGATCAATTACTGGTTATTGTATCTACCTTGGGGAGTCTCTAATCTCTTGGAAAACAAAGAAACAGGCCACTGTATCTAGGTCTTCTTCTGAAGCAGAATACAGGGCTCTAGCATCTACAACATGTGAAATTCAATGGCTCTTATACTTACTAGCAGACTTTGGAATAAAACCTAATGGTCCAACTACTCTGTTCTGTGACAATCAATCTGCTATTGCAATAGGAGAAAACCATGTGTTCCATGAACGCACCAAACACATCGAGATAGATTGCCACATAGTCAAACAAAAGGTATGTGAAAAGATGATTAAGTTGATGTCCATACCTTCACAAAAGCAGGTTGCTGATGGCTTCACCAAAGCTTTACCCAAGCTGAGTTTTGACACATTTCATTCTAAGCTGGGCCTTCAAGACATTCACACTCCAGCTTACGGGGGGGTGATGTAACACCCCTGATTTTCAAGACATTTAAAACTTAATAATAAAGGTAACATCTCATTAAATCCCAAAGCGTAACATAAGTGTACGGGGTGCTATGCCACACCTGGGCTAGAGAACCCAGGTGCACAGGCTGTCTAACTACTATCCTCTGAAATATAAATGCATAATATGGCACGCAGGCCGAATGGGAAACTATACTACTTCTACGCTCCGGTTCTAGCGCGCTCCAGTGCTCTAATCCTCTGTGCCTGAAAGCCAAATATATCTGTTCAGCGAGAGATGCTGGTAACCCACTCCAACGCGTTGAGATACAATACATATAGCAATATATATATATAGATATACGACAACCATTTTGAGCATGAAGATATATCCTACGAACTCTAGCTTTAAAACCGGGAATGACTCGACAGATAAGGCCAGACACAAGCAACAGTTATAACAGTCATAAGCAGTTCATAACAGATAAGGCAAATAAGGCAAGGTATAAGCAGTAATCATGACCCATCATAAACAATCCCCAATATGAAGCCCATAGTCACATCCCCCAAGACACTCATAATCACAACTCGTCCCTATCACAACACATAACGCACGTTGTTGGCGCCACAGGACCACTCGCATGCCCATACATGCGGGTCAGCGCATATAGCTCTGACACGGCCCCACAGCACCATACCCCGTATCGCAACACGAGGAGGCCGATCGCAACCGACCGATGAACCGCAGCTCATCATAATGTTTGATCGCAACCAAACAGTGGACCGCAGCCCAAGAGAGTGTGTTATCTGACTGTAGCCAGGAATTCCCATCTGACTACAGCCAGCCTCTGAACCGCAGCTCAGGAAAGATGTCACCTGATTGCAGCCAGGAATTCCCATCTGACTACAACCAGCTTCTGGACCGCAGCCCAGGATACCGTCATCCGACTACAGCCAGGAATTCCCATCTGACCATAGCCGCTTCTGAACCGCAACTCAGGATAACCAATCTGATCGCAACCGAATTGGGGTAACACGCACACATAACACATAGCAAGCACATGCAACCCACATTACACATTGGGAAGGGGGATAAAGCGTATAACAACCTTATGCGTGATCCATCACGTACTAAGAAGAGTCCTAAGGGGTTCATACTTCTTCCACCTAGGTCAACGGGATACCAATTCACCTAGCATGCAATATAATAGACTCATAAACCTACGAACGGTACCCGAAATATCAAACTAGACATAGGCACGACAAACGGGGTCCGTTGGGACACCACGGGGATCGGGGAAACATCAAACGGGGAAGCCGGGGTCCCGAGGGGGGGGAATTTCCAGCAGGTAGCCGGTGGGTGGGGGTCCACCCGCCGGCTGCCCGCCGGGCAATACTGTTCCGGGCAGCGGGTCGCCGGCGGGCAGCTGCCCGCCCGCCGGCTGCCCGCTGCCGGAACAGTGTTCTCGGCCGTGGGTAGGTGGCGGGTCCCCTACCCCCCCACCTACCCCCCACTGACTCTTTCATCAACTTTTCGTCCCGGGAACCGTTGTGGAACCCGAAACCATGCTTAGACACTTTACAACGCAATTAACGACGACACGTAGACAATTAACGGATCAATTACGAGAAACGAACGACACATAATCTATCATGCTTTTCTAACTATAATCAACACCCAAACATGCGATTTCCCCACCCGATAATCCAAGAATAATATCATACGATACAACCTAGGGTTCTAATCACTTTTATATCAACAAGAATACAATTCATCTTCTAATTGCAAGATTCGGTAGGAACGACACATAATCATCAAGGATACCAATTAATCATCAAAAACATCATAATCATCAAGAACAACACATAATCATCAAAACCCCAATTAATCATCAAGAACATCATAATTGTCAAGAAACTCCCAATATCAAGATTATCAAGGTTCCTCATGGAATCATTATATCGACATCAATAATAATCATCATCAATCGCCATTTACAATAATATGGGGGAAACCCTAAGGGGGAAATCATAGCTATGAAAATAGGTTTGTTGAGACATGGGTTACCTCTTAGCCTTAATTAATTCCTTGGCTATGAAGGATCTTTCTTTACGCTTTCTTGCTTTCTTGATTTCTCCTAAGGGAATTCTTGGAGCTCTCCTGGGGTGATGGGGCGTCTAGGCGTGTGGGAGGGGGTTCTAGGTGCTCCCTAAGTTCCCTATTTATAGATCCAAGGGTTTATTTAGAGTTTATTCCTAATGGGTTTAGGGGTTGGGTTTATATAATTGGGCCCATGGAATCATTATATCGACATCAATAATAATCATCATCAATCGCCATCAATATCAAGATTATCAAGGTTCCTCATGGAATCATTATATCGACATCAATAATAATAATCATCAATCGCCATTTACAACAATATGGGGGAAACCCTAAGGGGGAAATCATAGCTATGAAAATAGGTTTGTTGAGACATGGGTTACCTCTTAGCCTTAATTAATTCCTTGGCTATGAAGGATCTTTCTTTACGCTTTCTTGCTTTCTTGATTTCTCCTAAGGGAATTCTTGGAGTTCTCCTGGGGTGATGGGGCGTCTAGGCGTGTGGGAGGGGGTTCTAGGTGCTCCCTAAGTTCCCTATTTATAGATCCAAGGGTTTATTTAGAGTTTATTCATAATGGGTTTAGGGGTTGGGTTTATATAATTGGGCCCATGGGCTATGGTGGCCTATTTCCCTAATTAACCATTATAATTTATTCTTTCTCCTAGGTTATTAATTAATTAATTAATTAATCAGTTGGTTTTAGGATCCGTAACACGGGGTGTTACAGGTGACAAAGTATGCACAAGCTGCAAAATGAAAGAAGAATCTAGCCTAAGGTTTTTTTTTTGTATTTTCCTTTCTTGGTTCTGTTATAACTGCCCTGACAGTGTATATAACAGGAACTATCTTTGCCTATTAGATTGTAACTTCTCTTCTTCTTCAATTCAACTTCAGTTCTCTGGTTCCCAACTCTAGCTTTTCATCTCTCTCTCTGGCCTTTTATCAAACATGTGCTGAGCATTCAACAGGAAAGGAGGAAGAAATCAAACTGGTGGCATCAATTGGAAAGCATGGTCTCATTTATGTCAGCCAAAGAAATGGGATGGCTTAGGCTTCAGGAATATCAGAAGCTTCAATCTGTCTCTTATCTGCAAACAGGTTTGGAATCTCATTCAAAAACTGAACTCACTTGTTTCCCCGATCTACAAGGCCAGATATTACCCGAGTTCATCCTTCCTTGACGCCAGACTAGGAGCTAATCCCTCCTTTATTTAGAGCATTCTAATTGCTACACAAGGAATAATCAAGCAGAACCAGAGAATAGGTGATGGCAGTCATGTTCATATTTGGGGAGATAATTGGCTCCCTGATAGATTGAATCCAAGAATTATCTCCTATCCATATCCCCTCATGGAACATGTTACAGTAGCCGATTTGATTGATCCAAACCTGTATGGCTGGGATGAAGATGTTATAAGATCCATGTTTAATCAAAGAGATGCAAACCTCATTATGCGTATCCCTCTGCCCAGGCATCATGCTCATGATAAACTTATTTGGGGAACGGAAGATGATGGGATGTTCTCTGTGAAGAGCTGCTATAGGGTGCTGCAAGGTGTCTTAGATGATAATGACATTCAAGGTTTGAGCAAGATATGGAGTTGTAAAATTCCTCCCAAGGTGAAGACATTCATATGGCTAGTATGTACTCAGAGTCTCCAACTAAGGATCTTCTAAGGAAGAAACACATCAATTGTACTAATTGCTGCCTCCTGTGTCCTACTGGAAAAGAGTCAATCAACCACATCTTTATGGAATGTGACTATGCCCGTGCATGCTGGAATCAACTTGGAGTCCAATTACCTCATGACAATAGCGCAAATTTTCAGAATTGGATCAACACCATGCTGACATCTTTACCCAAGAGCACTTTCTGCAATTTCCTCACGATATGCTGGAATATCTGGTCGCTAAGGAACAACATCCTCTGGAATGGGCAAGCAATGGACTTGGCAGTTTTCACAGTACGGAAAGCAAAAGATTTCTACAACAACTGGTTTAATGCTACTAAGGACAATCTTCCTACCTCACAGTCCCATAATGCTAGTGGAGCCCGATGGACGACAACATTGCCAGGATACCTGAAGCTCAACGTAGATGCAACAATCGACAATCAGAGTTCTCGCATGGGATTCGGGTGTGCCTTAAGAGATGATCAAGGTCAATTTGTTGCAGCCAGAGGGACACATTGGAGAGGTAGTTTTCATTCCAGAGAGGCATAAGTAGTGGCGATTAGAGAAGCGCTCAGTTGGCTCAAAGCTCACAACTTCGATAAAGTGATCGTTGAAGCGGATTCGCTCCAAGTGGTGCAAGCGATTAATTCTATGAAGGGCGATTCCTCTTTTCATCTTGTTTTAAATGATGTTAAAAACTTATTGAGTTCGTTTACTCAAGTTAGTTTATGTTTCGTTAGGCGATCTGCAAATCAGGCTGCACATCTGTTAGCAAAGCAGTCTGTTTCTTTGTCTGATGCTCAGAGTGGTTCTTAAATCCTCCTCCTATCATTTGTAATGCGTTATCTTTAGATGCTTTAATATAATTCATGTTGGTTTTCAAAAAAAAAAAAAAAAAAATGCTTGAGAAGGAATAAGGGAATAAAATCCTTATTTTATTTGGGTATGGACTTTTTAATTAATGGGATATTCGAAACACATAATAGTGTTCTAAAAACCTATCAACCAAACAATAATAATCACTTTCATACTCATTTCTGTGAGCAAAACCCATCAACCAAACACACCCTTAAAAATCGAGGGCTGGGAGAGGTACCATGTCCCTGATGAAGAATTAAAAACATTCTCCCCCACCCTCCTCCAACCCCCTCCTCCCCCGGTTCTCCAATTTTTTTCCTATCACCATCCCTATTTCTGTTGAGACAGGGATCGAAGATTCATGTTTAGGGCGGGAGAAATTGTCATTTATACCCTTCCGGGACTAAACTCTATTTTCATCTTGGGTGTAAAGGGAGAGGAACCAGCCTTCAAAGGAGGACTACACACTTCTATAATTATTTGAAGATGGTAGACATTTTAAGATCCCTTTCATAGGTTCTCTGCAAATTCCCTCATTGTTGTCATCGTTTTAGGGTTAGTAGTATATTTTAGAATGAAAAATATTTAATTTTAATAAAACAAATTATATAAAAATTACTCATATAAATATTTGCAAAAACGACCTAATTAATATTTTTTGGTCAGATCAAGAGATATTCTAAGGAGACCCTAACGGTAAGAGGTACATTTAAGCCCGTACTATACCTAGACTAATCTCTATTTGCACCGGACCGACCCAATTAAAAAGTAAAGTGCTGATTGAATGACCTAATTAATATTTTATTTTTATTTTTAATAAAGTGACAAATTGTAATTCATCATTGGAGTGTCATTACTAATTTAATGGCCCCTTGACAAGCCAAAAGCTCTCAATTTTCACCTTTCAAGTGCATTCCAACAATATAAACAAACATATAAAAATTGCTCCTAGAGCCGGTGCAGAGATAAATTATATTATAAATTGCACAATCAACACATCCATAGATCCAAGTTTTCATACGCGCACAAATGATTCAATCCACACCTTCCAAATTTTATTATCTTGAACCTTTTTCACATTTATGTTTCCAGTGAGATTCAAAGCCCCACCCTGCCACCTTCGGTCATGACATCACGTGAATCCCTATGTCTACAAAATCTTAATATAAACCTAAAAATGTCATGTACCATCCGACATAATTGCTGAACGGATAATATATAAATAATCATTCACGTGTGTGGAAATTGGCTATGAGAAAATTCATTGAAGACAAAGAATAATTCTCTGTTAAAGAATATGAAACTTGAAGAGGCATACTTGGAAGTGAGAAACTGAATTCACTATCTACTGTTGATTTTACATTGCAATACTACAAAGTTGTAATGTACAGAATGCTTTCAGCTTCTTCAGTACAGTATTACACAGTATAATAAGTTTTGTGTTCAAGCTTTTGCCAGAGGGGAAGCAGTTGATGATGGTCGAATCGCAGCTTTTGCATATGCAATAGGCAATGCAAGCAGTTTCTTCGGCTTGCTTACATAGGCTCTCCTCGTGAAGTTGTTGTAGTCATTGGCTTCGATCTCGTCCAGTATCTTGCGGTACAACAGCAGCGATGCCCACACCTGAAACACGAGAGATCGATATAGTAATTGAAGGATGTGTTTCGTTCATTTCAACTAAAAGTTTAAACTGACGGTGAGACTGCACAGTAGTGAAGTTGATTGAACTTCTATTCGGGGACTTCAATGTAAGTGTGTTGGGCGTCGGTCGGGTTGATCGAGTTCAGCCCTTGCTCGATTCGAGACGTTGCGCTGTGGCTTACCATGGAGGAATGTGGTTAAATGGTTAATGTTCACCTACTTATCACCAATTGGTTGGTTTTAATTATGATATGACAACCAGATAGCCAAAGAACGGCAACCAAATAGCTAAAGAACTCTGTGGTTAAGCGTGCTTGACTTACAGCAGTCACAGGATGGGTGTGCAGATCCACCAAAGTGTGTCCAGCACCCTACCTCACGAAAATGTGACAGTGCCTTCGCCACGAGTTATAGTGGCATAGTGGAACGAGGATTTGTGATTTTGTTGACTAACCACATGCGATTTTAGTTTGAGTAGTTATAGGTACTTACCGGCCATCTACTAGCGGAGCTAAGTTCAGTCACACCTCTCTCTGCCTCGTCGAAGAATTTCCTTGCTCTCTTAATTTGCTTCTTCATGAAGTTCCTCCACTTATCAGTAACTTTTCCAGCATATATATCCTCATCACAAAGTCCCGCTTGAGCTAATTCATCTTGAGGTAAATACACCCTCCCCCGTCTGGCACTGAAGAAAAAAAGCCCCCGAGTGTAAGGAACTAGGAGATTTTTAGTTTTTATTCATCTGTTATGATACCAGCCAGTACCATTCATTGCAAACCGGGAATCTGCCCCGTAAAATTCTAAAGTTGTGGAATAAAGCTTTCATACTTACTCCTCTCCTACGTCTCTGAGAATGTTGGTTAGTTGATTTGCGATGCCTAAAGCCAAAGCGGCATTGTAGACACTCTCTGTAGTTGCCTTCGATTCGGGCGCAATGCCCATAACTGGGACACTCATCAAACCGACCGTACCAGCAACGTAATAACAGTACAGGTATAGCTCATCAAAGTTATCGTATCTCGACTTCCAGAGGTCCATTCGCATTCCTTCAATCATATCCCTAAAGGGCTGCAATAAATTTAAAAAAAAAAACGTTCAAGAATTAGAGGTTCATGTTACTAATGAGAGTTAATTCGACTTATAATCTGCAGCTTTTATAGGATTCCACAGAATCAAAATTTCGAGCATATTCAAGATTCCAAAGTTCCGGACCTGAATATCAACTGGAAACCTGGATACTGTATCTGATAGTGCAGCGTCAAGCATATCAAACGGGCACCCTCTGAATACGTCTTCCAGCCGATCCTCCCATCTATCCAGGGCCTTTGGAGTTATATGCGATGCATTAGGCCCATCAACAAGTTCATCAGTTCTCCTACACCACACTGTTTAAACAAAGAAAATCAAGAAAATCAAGGAAACAAGTCTCTAATTTCACAGCTTGTATTTCGGTAGCCATTTACAATCTAGTTAGTTTTTCGAACCGTTAGTGATAACACTAAGATACAAAAACCTGCAAGTACCCATCTTTACAATTGACTCAACCCCACTAGGTTAGGAGACTTAAGATTCAGAGTCATTAGTTTTCGACTTTGGAATCAAAACATATAAACAAATTAGAACAACGTAACATGGCACAGATTACTTTGTTAACCAGAAAAAAAAAAATAAAAATAGCACAAGATACACTGCATGTGACACCAAAGTCAAAAGTCCGTGTCAAAGATTCCTTGTGGAAGTTAATGAAGCAAAGAGTTAAAAAGTATGATATTTAGTGTGGCCCAAATCTAATAAATTAGCAACTTTTATCAAACTACTTTGAAAATATTCGATTAACGGAAGACATAAACCTCTTTTCGATCTTATTTTTATTCTTAAATGCTACCCTGTCGACCATCTAAGCTTAAACTGTACCTATTTCTGATCTCTTTTTTGTATTTTACATTACATGCCTCAGATTCTCACCATAAATCGCCCAGATAGCTCTTCTTCTCTCAGGTGTCATTAGCATGGTTCCTGGAAAACGTAGATTAAAGTAAAGATCAAAGGTCCTCGATCGCATGGTATAACATATAATGTTTTGCTAATTGCTAGCTAAAGGTGTAGATAAAAGAGGCTAACCCAAATAAAACGTCTTAGCATACTCTGCACATACTTCACCGCATCGATTATAAGCTTCACTCAACACGCCCAAATCGCCTGGAAGGACTATATCTGGCTTCACCTTCAAATCCTCTCTGGATCTCAACTTCCTGTTCACCAAAGCAGCCTGCTTCAACACTACATCGTAGACCTTTTGCTCGGATGACATCACCATTTCCCCGGCTGGACTAACCACCGCATTCGAAAGCACGGGGAATTTCCCTCCATTCTTCGAGCCCGACCCTCCCGAACAAAGATATCTCGAGTCTGCATTGAAAGACGCCAAAGTGCATCCTTGCTTCTTACCCTTCTTAGCCCTGCCTTTGCCCACCAAACTCGTGTTCCTGCCAAGGAACCTCGATGAATCCACGACCCGGATTCCCTCCCTCACCGAATAAAAGATTCCAGTGCCATTTGATAGCTCAGAAGAGGGAGAAACAACCCACAGCAAGGCACTAGACATACTTGAGGTGAAATAGTTTGTATATAACTACTTCCAAGATTTTGTATTTATGTTCCCTTGATTATCCTGGTGTGTAGTTTATAGTAAAAAATGGAATATGCCCACTAAAGTCTTTCCACTTTCAAACAATGCCCACCTTGGCTTTTTGCAAAAGAGATCATTAAACCCCCCCACAACCAAATCAAACCGACTTTGCTTTAACTGCCACAAAAAAGCAAAGGGTTTATGAATTATGAACACCAAGCTCCCCTCTTATCTCCTTCTGCACAATGAAATGAACCACAAATCAAACTAAATAACCTGCTGGGCATACTGAATTATAGCACCATATGTCCTTTAACAAAAAAAAAAGATCAAAAAAGTCTTAAATCAACAACAACAGCACCTTCCCTACAGTGCTGCACAAAGAAAGGATCTTTAATATTGAGAAAAAAAGGAAACCAATAAAATAATCTGCAAGATTATGCACCAGACATCACTTTCTTATGGTTATTGGGGATTTCTATATTTAGTTAAATGGAATATAATATGCAACACTTCTTGTCTTCCTTACACGTACGAGCTATCTTGAATGGACCAACCTTTCATATCTATTGTTGCACTATGAAGCAAAAACAATAAAGAACAAATAAATAAAGAAATAAGCAGCAGAAATGAAGCTGCTTTATTACCTGCTTCTTTGCTCCAGAGAAAGCAATAGACTTGCAATGGG